GAGCGTGATGTTATGGGCGGCTCATTAGACCAGAGGAATAGATAGGAGCAGACAGGAGCAGACAGGAGCACACAGGAGCAGACAGGAGTATGCAGGAGCAGACAGGAGCAGACAGGAGCAGACAGGAGCAGACAGGAGCAGACAGAACCACACAGGAGCAGACAGGAGCACACAGGGGCAGACAGGGCAGACAGGAGCAGACAGGAGTACACAGGAGCAGACAGGAGTACACAGGAGCAGACAGGAGCAGACAGGAGCAGAGGACCAAGACATGTACCTGCAGGCATCTGAAAAAGACATAAGTGAGAGTAAATGATGAGGAAGAGGAGAGACAGAGGAACAGTGAAGACCTAATGAAAGAATCGATGGAAAAGCAGCGTCCTGGGAATAAAGAGCTTCTATTCAACACAAACTAACTCTCTCAGAAGTGTGAGGAGCCAAGAGTCCAGTGTAAAAATGATTTAACTCAGGCCAGAGTCATTCTGGAGATATTGCATTGCCTGAAATGTTCCGCAGTATGGCATTAAATGTATAGCCTTGTTTAAATACATTATATTTCATTATTCAAAAATACATTGATAAATATTAGGGTGGTCCAAAACATTTTTTTTTTTAAATTTAGGTTCTCTAGATTAGAAGCCTGCAATTTGGTTCGATATCTGCCCAAAATATTTGGGTCCAAATTTTATGCAAATTAATTCATAATTAGACATTTCTCAAGACATTTGAAAATTGCCTGTAGGGCCCATACTATAACATAGAACCAAATAAATAAGGAGTATTCAATTAATTTAGAGATAGGGTGAGGAGCTCAGTCACACGGGAGGAGCTCGGAGTAGAGCCACTGCTCCTCCACGTCGAGAGGAGCCAGTTGAGGTGGCTCAGGCATCTCTTCTGGATGCCTCCCTCTGGAGGTGTTCTGGGCATGTCCCACCGGGAGGAGGCCACAAGGAAGTCCCAGGACACGCTGGAGGAACTATTTCTCTGGGCTGGCCTGGGAACACCTCAGGGCTCCCCCCGGAGGAGCTGGAGGACGTGTCTGGGGTGAAGGAAGTCTGGGAGTCCCTGCTTAGACTGCTGCCCCCGCAACCTGGCCTTGGATAAGCGGAAGAAAATGGATGGATGGATATTTGAATAATTTGTCAGTTTATTCTGGAAACACAAACTGAAACTGAAACTAAAAATTACTTAGAAAGTCCAGCTTCACTGTGGCATCAGCTTCTTCTGTTCTGTCACACTGGAGTGGAAGAATTCCAGGCCAACCATTTCTTCAATCAAGTACCAAAGATGTTGCCCAAAGCTGTTCAGGTGCTTTCTTCACAACTGAATGTTCAGACTGTGACAGCTTCTTAAGGAAAATCAAATCATCTGCAGGAGCTTCAAAACTTCATACAGAAACTTCATGCAGCTTGAGCAACCTCTAAAACATCTCCTTTTTCTTCCAAATGTTTTCCTCAATCATCTTTTGATGCTAAAACCTAATGCAGGGTTCTAATCAAGGTTATCTGAAACTTTTTTTATTTTTTTACCAGGCTTTGATGGACCAGCCTAATAAACATTCTCTCTTACAGTGAGCGGGATCGCCTCTCCACAGATCTGACCTGTAACGTGGATTGGTGGCATCTCCTTCTTCTCTCTGTGTAGATATATTAGTTTATATCATTTTTACAATAAGAAATCTTTATAAAATGTACCTTCCATAATGTTTTTCCTTTGCACAGTTGCTATTATAAAGCAGATATTTTTATTTAAAGCCCTACTGCGGAACATTTCACATAGTAAATATAAAAAGTGTATGTGTTTTGAGCTAAAATCACAGAGGAAACATTACTCTCCATAAATCTGACTCGTAACTTGGTCTGGATGCAGCTTACATCCTGCTGTCATGGAGATGCTGCTGCTCTGGTCACACACAGTCAGTGTTGGGAGTAACAAATTACTGTAATGTGTTGCTTTTTGCTGTAACGCAGAAATGTTACGTCATTACAGGGGAAAATGTGTAATATTTTACTCAGTACAAATGTCAGTAACGTGCGTCACAATGCTTTTTTAACCTGGATTGAAGTGTTGGGTTTTTCTTCATACAAATTTGCTAAAATCACCGCGATATCAACAGTGGTGAAACACCGGAGACACGCCCGTGTAGACCGTCGGGTGACCGCGGGCAAAAGGACCGACGCAGAACTCCACACTCCACGAGGCTAAACACAGGTGACACCCTGTCTTGCTTTGCAGACACCCTGTCTGCAAGGTGCTTCCAAGTTCTAGTCCAAGATTAGTCCTAGTTTAGTGCTGGTTTAGTCCTCAGTTCAGTCCTGGTTTAGATTTGGTTTAATCCTGGTTCAGTCCTGGTTCAGCTCTGATTGAGTTTTGGTTTAGTTCTCTTTAGACCTGGTTTAGTCCTGGTTCAGTCCTTGGTTCAGTCCTTGTTTAGACCTAGTTTAGTCCTGGTTTAGTCCTGGTTCAGCCCTGGTTTAGACCTGGTTTAGTCCTGGTTCAGCTCAGTTTCAGTTTTGGTTTAGTCCTGGTTCAGTCCTGGTTCAGCTCTGATTGAGTTTTGGTTTAGTTCTCATTTAGATCTGGTTTAGTCCTGGTTCAGTCCATATACAGTGCAGAAGTTCAGCAGTTCTTTTGGTGAGAGTAACTTAAAGTGCTGCAGTAGTCGTGTAATGTTTTACATTTTAAACACAGTAATATTGTAATGTAATAAATTACTTCAAATTGACAGTTACAAGTCATAAATAAATAACACATTACAGTTTTAAAGTCACTTGCCCAACAGTGCATACAGTTGCCGAGAATGTTCCACAATATTGCTTTAACTACGTAACACTGACTTTGGACACTGACCTTTAAAATAATTACCAAAAACACTGACAATCTTTATCCTACAAGTTTTATAATTAGCTTGAAAATCCCCGACAGACTGGAGCTTAGAGCAGATTGAGGTGAAAACAGTGTAATTAAACAGTCAATACATGAGCGCATTCCTGTTTGCTCAGCGAAAAAGCGGATTTGGAGGATTATAAATGTGAAAAAGTCAAAGGTTTGTCTGATGTAATGATTTGTCGAGTGTGGACGAGGGAGCTGCAGGTCTAATCGTGTCTAAAGTCATTAGAACTCCCAGAGGATTCATCACAGACACTTTTCAAAACGCCACGAGGAAAAGACGATTCTCTATGTACACAGAATTAGAGAAGCAAACAGCAGCTCCAGTTTATGTTTCACACCGCAGACAAAGAGCAAAACCTCAGTCATTTAAAGCCACACTATGTCACTTTATACACAAAAGAAATAAAATAAAATAAAGCAGTTTATATATATATATATATATATATATATATATATATATATATACACTGAAAACTTAGAGTAGTAAAACCTGTGTCCTGATTCTGAGACCGCTTGCATCTCCACAAACCTGACTCTTATTTGTCCTGCTTGTTTCCATGGAAATGTTGTACCTTTGTCCATAATGTTCCACAGTATGGCTTTAAATGCAACTTCTCTCTCTTTCTTCTGTCTAGAATTGTGCAGGTGCCCTTCACCAGATATTTTTACATGTCCTGGTTTGATCCTAGTTTGAGACCTGCAGTATGATTGGACTGGTCCTGTTCAAGTCCTGGTTTAGTCCTGGTTTAGTCATGTTGTAGTCCTGGATTAATCCTGGTTTAGTCTTGTTTTAGTTCTGCTTTAGTACTAGTATAAACCTGGTTTAGTCCTTGTTTAGTCTTGGTTTAGTCCTGGTTTAGACTTGGTTTAGTCCTGGTTTAGTCTTGATTTAGTCCTTGTTTAGTCCTGTTTTAGACCTGATTTAGTCTTGCTTTAATCCTGTTTTAGTCCTGGTTTAGTCCTTGGTTAGTCCTGCTTTAGTCATGTTTTAGTCCCATTTTAATCCTGGTTTAGTCCTTGTTTAGTCTTGGTTTAGTCCTGGTCTAATCCTGATTTAGTCCTTGTCTAGTCCTGATTTAGTCCTGGTTTAGTCCTGATTTAGTCCTGGATTAGTCCTGGTTTAGTCCCAGTTTAGTCCTGGTTTAATCCTGGTTTAAACGTGGTTTAGTCCTGGTCTAGTCATAGTCCTGATCTACTCTTAGTCCTGGTTTACTCCTGGTTTAGTCCTGGTTTAGTCCTAATTTAGTTCTGGTTTAGTCCTGTGGTTTAGTCCTGTGGTTTAGTCCTGGTTTAATCCTAGTTTACTCCTGGTTTAGTCTTGCTTTAATCCTGGTTTAGTCCTGGTTTAGTTCTGGTTTAGTCCTGGTTTACTTCTGGGTTAGTCCTGTTTTAGTCCATTTTTAGTCCTGGTTCAGTCCTGGTCTAGTCTTGGATGAGTGACCAAGAGCAGAATTTCATTTGCGACATGTTTAAAAACTCAGAGAGTTGTCGGTCTCAAGTGTATAAAAGAAATACATTTACAACAATGCCAAAAAAAAAAAAAAAAAAAAAAAAAAGATTAAGCCTGAGCCAAGATTTTTAACAACACCTTTTTACATTTTT